GCCATGAGGGTGAAAGTCAGAGATGAGACCGCATGCCCTTTGGTGAGTCATCGCTGGATGGCCCTGCTTACCGATGTGGGATCTAGCTAACCTTTAACCAGTGTTCTCCTCACCCCTAATTTGTGAATCAGAGTCTCCATACCCCAGGGATGAAGGCAACAGAACAGCAGAGTCTGTCTGCAGGGTACAAATTAGCACCGAATCTGGTGCCACTGGGGTGGAGGAAGAAAATGGTTAGACTAAATGCAACATTTGCCTTCAAACCTGCCTTGAGCCTCTTTCTCGCAAAAGTTTTTGGGTTCATTTAGATGTTTGTTCTTCAAGCTATCAGATAAATAACTATGTATTACAGTGAGCTGAGACAGTTCATTCTTGGGTTCCAAACTCCCTTTCCCTTCCTCCTGTAGATGGTCTACTTTGCGGCTGTGGCCACCCAGGCAGCCTTGGTGAACCTGACCAGCACAGTACTGACCATCACCATTTAGAGGGCTGGACTGAGCAGAGGCCAGCTGGCTGGTGAATTGTGCCACCTCAAGACATAATGGGTCACCACGGGCTCTCTAAACTGCTGAGAAGTGGTCCTGGCTTAGTGAACACAACTGATGAGACAGTTGGGTCTTTAAGAGAGGCAGTAGATTAGCCTTTAAGAAGTGTTTTGGGACTTCCCTGGTGGTCCAGTGGTTAAGATTCCACCTTGCAAGGCAGGGAACACGGGTTCAATGCCTGGTTGAGGAACTAAGATCCCACATGCCAAGGAGCTACTAAGCCTATGTGCTCAACCCACATGCTGCAACTAAGACCTGACACAGACAAATAAACAAATAAATATTAAAATAAAAAAAGAGAGAGAGAGACAGAAGGTGTTTGAAGTCAAAGAAACTGGATTTGAATGCAGCTAAGACCAGTTGTGGCTCTTACCAGCTGCAAATTACTTAACTTCTCTGGACTTTATTTTCCTCATCTGTAGAATAGGAGAAATTATGACACCCCCACCCCTGGCCCACCTTGCCACCAGTTCAGTTTTGAGAAGGCTTCTGTGAGATACAGGATTTGTAAAGCATTTAACACTATATCTGTACATAGAAAGCACATAAGAGATGGATCAGACCATTATTATCTTAAGGATATATAGGCTGTACTTTTGGGAGAGAAACACCTCTGAATATATTATTACAGAGGTTCTTTGATCATTTTAGATTTGGAAAAATAAGTGAATTGAAAGATTTCTCTTTTTAAATTTCCTTAAAATTTCTTTATAAATAAAAGTCATCTTGAAGCAGTGGAAAGATTTCTTAATTCTGGTCAGTGATATGCTTCTTCTTTACTTAGAAAATTCACCCCCAAATGTGACTATTGATTATTACCTAGTCACTGATAGAGAGAGAATTTTTTTTTCAATAATAGAGCTACTAAGTTGAAGAATCTGTCATCTTCTTTATTTTTTCTTCCATTTATAAAACTTGGATCATTTTCCTCAGGGGATATTCAAATTGCCAACCTAAAGCTGGAGATCTTGTCCTACCCTATATTTGTGCAATTGGTACTCTCGCTAGAAAACATTTCTTGAGTGTTGAAAGCCAAGATAAAGGAAGCTATTACAAAGAAGACTATTAAAATGTACTTCTTACAAAGTGTAGAAGCCCCTTATAATCATGTTTTCTTCTAAACTACATTTATTTGGATGTACTGTGGTTTAAATAACAACACTCAAAATAAAACAACTATGTGGGTAAAAGCTGGGTGACATGGTGTTGAAAGTGTCCTGTCTTTGGGTAAAGAAAATCTCCCTACTTGCTGTTAATTAGTTTTTAAAGAAATCTAAATAAAGCGTAGATTCAGATTTAAAGTTTGTTTAATTTATTCTAATTTTAAAAATTATCTTGTAAATACGTTGTTCAATGATGGTAGAATAGTTAAGAGAATAAACGTTGGAGTCAGACTGCTTGGGTTTGAATCTCAGCTCCACCGTTTACCTTCTCTGTGACCTTAAATAATTTCACTTCTTTATGTCTCCATTTCCTAATTCGTAAAAGGGAAATGCTATGGACCCCTTCAAGTTGTGAAGATTAAGTGAGATAAATATGCATGGAAGGCTTAGAACTGTGTGTCTGGCATAGAATAAGTATTGAACTGTTAGTGGCCTTTGTGCTGTGCTTTTCCCCTCTCATCTCTGTCAATATTTTAGTCATAAAAATGGCTATTAATATTGTTGTTCCAATAGTGGGATGTGATAGAAAGTACCAAGACAGGAGTTAGAATAATTTGTTCTGAGTAACCTAATTTCTTTAACCTTCAGTTTACTCATGGGTTAATTGTTCAAGTTCCCAAAGAACTGATCTCAAAGGTCTTTTCCAGGTTGAAAATTCTATGATTAATCTATAGTCAGACTAAAAATGGATGTTTTCTGTTTCCACTGCCACTCACCCGATGTGATTATAATCCAAACGTCACTCAAATCTAGTAAATACACAACATTAAGTTCACCAGGAGGAGAGATTCATCCACTGAATTGCATTATTTGTCTCCTCTCTCTTATAAGGATGAATGCAGCTGTCTGGCATCTGGACCAGATCATCAGTATATTTGCTTCCCTCTCTGGGCACCAGGTGATGACATGGGCATCTCATGTGATTGGTTGTGGTTTCATTTTTAAATGGAATTTGGTTTCACTTCTTATTGAGTTTCTATTTCTGTCCAGGGTTTTCCAACTAGTTCCCCAATTGGCTGTAAAACCCCAGCAACAATACAGGAGGGCATTTCCTAGAAAGGAAACAAGAGGCTATAAACATTCAAAGTAATGCAAACTCAGAGACAGCTCTTGGTTTTTTTTTCCTTCCTATATGTCAATGTTATATTTCTTCTTTCCAGAGCTAGTTTCTAACTATAATCTCAATATTTTGTCTGCAAATATGCCTGGAAACTGTGAGAAATGAGAAGCCTCCAGTAGTACTACTGGTCATTCAGTTCATGTGGTTGATCTCATTGATGAGAGCAGGTGGTCTGCCATGTACAGTAGACAACACAGGTTGTCTACTAAACAACTCCAGGGATTCCATTTAGAGAGTTTCCACTGTTAGTAGCACTCTCCTGGGGATGTGCAGTTTACAGCCTGTGAAACCTATTTCATGGTCCTTAGGGCAAATTACTCCTCCCTATCTTACTTATAAGCCTGTTTCCTAATGATGCTAAGCTAGAGAGACAACTATGTCAGGGAATATGGGCTATTTTTTGGTCAAGACAATAGATAAATTGGCCATCCCTGCTACCAACAGTGTTTTTAAAATCAGAAATTGTTTATCATTAGGATGAGGATGATAGAAAAGGGAACTTGCCAGTACTAAATATGACCCCATTCTCTCAAGACCAGAACCACACCTGCCTACTGACAGCATTGCCCATCTGCCAGGGCAACACAGCCCAGGGATTATTTCTGATGTCAGTTTCCCTTTCTGGACTCCTTATAATTATCTTTTCTCTTAAGTTCTTTTGCAATTAAAGCTCACTGGATCTCACTATATGGATAAAATGTAAGTATCTGTAGAGATAGGTAAATAGATATACATATTTACATGATGGATGAATAGAGTAAGTAGATAGATGGATAGGATAACAGTAACAGAACTAAAGGCAGGGATGTGATTAGATAAGATAGTCCTCATAAAGCCCTACTTCCTTCCACATATAGTAGAACTTGTCAGTGTTAGCAGCTTTATTCATTACTGTTGTTATTGCTGTCTTTAAAAAAAAAAAACCTGCTATGGCAATAAATTTTTTTCTATGACCAAATTCTCCCTTCCCATAGCTCTTGAGCTAGAGTGGATTTAGCCCACATAACCCCTTCTCCTACCTTCATAGCCTTATTTGGCTCTTCTAGTCCTTTTTTTGAGTTTAATTTATGCTAAATACACCTTACAAATACTTGCATATTTAAAAAATCTGTTTGCAGTCATTGCCTAGTCTGTCCTGGAAGACAAAAATGTATTTGTCATTCTCTTTTCAAGAGTATCTACTTCTTCAGGAAAAAAAAAAAAAAAACTTCAAAGGAAATATCTACCACTCTTTCCAAGAGCTCGTTGCCACATCTCAAGCTTGTGCAGTTCTGCTCTTTACTCTCTCCTGTGTCTTCCCTCTATTCAGCATCTACCTCCTGACTTCACTGTATGTCTTAGTCTGGGTTCTCTCCAGCACAATCCTGGAGACAGGGATTTGAGGTGAAAAGTAATCTATTTGGAAGGTGATCCCAGGAAGCGTGGCGAAGGAATGGGATGTGAGGCAAGGAAGGGAGAAAAGCCAATAAAGAACATGTTACTGTATGGACTACTGTTGCAGGAAATTAGGGCTCAGTCCCCTGGGGCCCTATGAGAGACAGTGCAGGACAAACCTCCAAATCATCCCACCAAGGGAGAAGGAACTGGAGTGAAACATCAAGTGTTGTCACTCATTGGTCAGGGGTTGTTCCCAGGGGCATTGACTTCTGGACACTTGCAGCCTGCCCTCACGTTGCTATTTCTGGACAGAGACCCTCATTTAAAAACACCCAAATACTTGGGGTAGGAAGCCATCAGTGCCCACAGGAATTGTCCAACAAAGAAGCAGATGAGATTAGAATGGGCTGAGGGCATCAGGGCAAGCACTGACATGCAGCTTATCTGGATTTTATTTCAGGTGAAATGGACTCTTGGGAAACCACTGATGGATTCACTGACAAGTCCAAAACTTTGGAAAAGCCACGGAACCATAAGCCTAACCTTGCAGGCCAACAGGCCACAGTCTCAGAGTTTTCTGTCTGCCTTCAAAACATGTGGAGGCTGGTGCGCATGTGCCATGAGGGTGGGAAGTCTACTGCAGGTAGACTGTCTTCTTGGCCTGGCCTGGGCCTGGCTTTCCTCTGCATAAGGGTGCTGGGCTTCAACTGCATCGCCACCGGCTCCACCTATGTCCAAGGGATTGGAGGTTCTCTGCTTAGCATCCTCACAGCCCTTTCTGCTTAATCTGGCCTGATGGGCACAGTTCTCTTCCCCAGCCTCAGGGGACACTATGGCTTGGTCACCATTGGAATCATATCCAGCTGGTTCCACATGGGTTGTCTGACACTCTGTGTATTTTCTGTGTTTGCTCCTGGAAGTCCTTTTGATCTGGCTGTTTTCTTACTTCCATTAAGCAAAAACTTTTCTTCAAACCATGAGTTGCTAAAAGACCAGGTCTGTATTTATTCCTTTGAAAGAAACATGAACCAACCTATCCTTCCAGACCATTCCTCCAGTCACTGGACCAATAGCACAGTTCTATTTGAACGAGGGCAGGACCCTGAGCATCATGTCTTACATCTCCATTACCTTGCTCTTCTCAGTGTGATCCTGGCAAGAATCAGTGAGCAGTGGGTCATGTGTGGCATAGGATTTTCTGCAGCCTGTGATGTGGCTAAGTAATTGTAGAAGCATTTCGTGGACTCACTGCTGTGTCATTGTAAGTCTTCATCATTCGTTCACCAAGAACCCATTACAGGACAAGAGCTGTCTTAGACACTGGGGATACAAGAGTGGTTTATCAGATGAGGGTTTAGCTCCACTGAGAATCTGCATGGGAGATCAATGAATGAGTAGGTAGCAACAGCCAACAACACAACGTGACAGGAGCTATGTGAGGAAAGGACGGAGGATTGGAGACACAGATGAGGGACCCCAAAGCTGTCTTGGGGGCTGGGGAAGCCTTCCCGGGAGGAGACACAATTAAGAGATCCCTGAAGGGCAAGCTAGGTGGGTGACATGAAGAGAGAAGAATGCTCCAGGCAAGGCAGACAGTTATGCAAAGGCTGAAATGTGAAAATGTGGAGATCTGGGAAAGTGCAAATAGTTATTTCCAGGGTGTATTTCAGATGGTAAAGAATCTGCCTGCAATGCAGAAGACCGGGGTTGAATCCACGGGTTGGGAAGATCCCCTGGAGAAGGGAATGGTTACCCAGTCCAGTATTCTTGCCTGAAAAATTCCATGGACAGAGGAGCCTGGTGGGCTGCAGTCCATGGGGTTGCAAAGAGACACAACTAAGCAATTAACACTTTCACTTTCAAGCATGTAAATGCTTCAGATGGCATCTACACTGAAGGAGTATTTTGACCTGGATTCTTTCTCTGTGGAACTGGGATGGGGAGAGGGGAAGAGGACAGCTTGGTGAGGCCAAAGTTATCTTTAGTTGTCTGGGGAAGGGGAAGGAAATCCTGTCCTACAGACTGAGCATCTACAAGCTTGTCACCCTGAGAACTTGGTCTCAGAGCTCTGTCACCAACCATATGTCATTCACCCCTGGCAATGACGACATTAATGATTTGGTAAGGGTGTTTGGTAAAGGTGTTTAAAAAATTGTTTTGGTCATTTTATGCCTGAATTCAGCAGTGACATGTTGGGTATCAGCAGTGACGGGGTTTGGTCCAACCTGCATATGCTCAGCCTGCAAAGAGTCTGGACTTTGTTCTTAGACATGGACTGCTGTGATCCAGTTTCCACCCAGGGAGCATCACTTTTGTGCCCAATCCCTGATCCCTACCCCCGATCCACAGTCATCATTTGCAGAACTCCTCCCTGAGTCCACAACTCTAAGCCAGGTGATCCTCCACCCCCAGGGCCAAAGTGAGGGAATGGAGGGTCCTGGTGGGTGGTGGAAGAAGGATCGAAAGCTGACTTCCTCCTTCACTCGGCGTCTCCCTGCCTGTTTCTGCTGTGAACCTCAGCCGGCGCTGGGCTTCAGCAAGGCCCCCGGCCTTCCTGTGGCTCAGAGCTTCCCCTCCTCACCTCTGGGGCCACAGTGGAGTGGGGGAATGGGGCTCGGGTTTTCTGATTTCTGTCATGTCTTGGTCCACAGAATCTTGGGGATATGGGGAGAGGGAAAATGAGAGGTTTGTAGGTCTAGTTCCAGGGGTTATAAAGCCACGGGCTAGCCTGGGAACTGCATTCCTCTGATGTGATGTGCATGTTTGAGAAAGGAATCATTCCTAATTCCAAACAGATGATTGAGAAACCTGTCCTTTCATCTGGAGATGACCTAACCCCTAAAATATGTTAAGTGAAGGACCTGATGGGTGAGTTACCTTTTATTAGACTATTTGGTTTGTATTTCCCAGCCTTTGATTGAACAAAGGATTGAATGAGGGTTGGCAATTTTAAGATTTACGCAATTAACATTATGAGAATAAACTCATTCTAAAGGGGAAAAAGTCCAAATGACTCTTCCTGACACAAAAGAAACATCACGTTTACAGAATGTGGGATCTTGTTGGCAATGCCTACAATCTAGAGGAGCCCGAGAGGAACTTGGGGTTTTTCTCCATGGCAATAGCAGTTTTTCTGTTGACTCTTGATAAGGATGCCACAAACACCAGAACATGCTTGACACTCACGAGGGAGCCAGCTCAGGATGTGGAGACAGGCTGCCCAAGGATGTTGGCATGTTATCTAAGCTCCCTGTGTCCCTGTTTCCTTGTCTGTAAGATGGGATAGTAATGATAGTATCTTCCTATCAGGGAAGTGCTGAGGATGCCTTGAAATGATTCCTGCAGGGAATGTGCTTAGCACAGAACCTTCACAGGTATCAGAGCTATTTACTGAAAATGAATCTTAACTCTCATCTTCAGTCATCATCATTTGTATATTTTGGCTGTGATTGTGGTGCTTTCACGAGCATTGTTGTGTAAGCGTGGAGAGCGGGGTGGGCAGTGAGATGGAGAGCCAAGATACTGGATGACCCCCACATGCACAGCTACCACCAGCAAATGCCACTCACCCTTATTCCCAGCAGAATTGCAAACAACCTCAGGGTTGGTGGCATGGTCAAAACTGCACATGTTAAAAGCACCAGTGCCCCCAAAGGATGTAGTGTCAAGCCCTGGTTAGCGTGTTTAGCATGGCCAGGCCTGGCGGCCGTCTTGGTGTCTCCATGGGACCAGTGGCCTGTGGCTGCCTGGCGGTCCACCATGAATTCCCAGGCCCAGAGTTCACTGGAGGCATCTGCTCAGTAAATACTTGTTTCCATTCTGGGTGGAAACTAAGTTACAGAACTCTGGCTACAACATGATTTGACATATTGTTCCACAGTCCCTTTGCTTTCTAAAATCTAAGAGCCATGACTCTTTCTGTCCTCAGTTTATGAACAGTTCTGTCAGTGCAGAATCAGCTCTCACTTCCTAGCTTCACGTTGTGCGGCTGCAGCATTTTATAAATATCTCCAACCTGTCAACACTGGGGCTTAGGGGCCGTGTGCAAGTTTACTGGTGAGCTCCAGGTCAGAATCCTTTGGCAGGCCAAGGTCTGGGGCTTCGAGGCGGTGTGCCGAGTGGTTGGGATGGCCCAGAAGGAGGGAGAGCCCGGGCCGGAGTCCCAGGAGCGGGCCGCTGCATGGTGACGAGGGCAGCCTATGAGGACAGAAGGCCTGGCCAGTGCTCTTCAGGGACAGACGCTGGGGGACGCCGCATGTTCAATCCAAATTATTCCTGGGTTCAGAGCTGAGTCCAGAGATCAGGACAAGGCAAATAAGAGGCCTGTGCAGGGCCAGAGCTGGATTTCAGGGAGAAGCCTGGAAATCGGCTGTTGGCAGAATCTGGGAGCAGGCGCCGGGGCCTCCAGGACTGTCACTCAAGGACAGCATTGCCACCTGGTTTCTGACTTATCTGGTGCCTGCATGGCAGGTCCTGAGGCTGCTTTCGAAGTGTAATCAAATGGTCAGAAGAGTCGGACATGACTTAGTGACTCCTGAAAGGGTTAGTCACTCAGATGTGTCTGACTCTTTTTGACCCCGTGGACTGTAGCCTCAGTCCATGGGATTCTCCAGGCAAGAATGTTGGAGTGGGTAGCCAATCACAACAAATGTGGTTGAAGGTGGGGAGGGGAGAGGAAGCTAATTTCTTCTCTGCCAAACCAGGAGAGAAGAGGAAAAACCGTGGAATTGGAGCTGAATGTGAAGCCCAAGACTTGGTTCTTTGTTCTGTTTTGGGCATGAAATGGAGACATAAATAAATACATCCAAAATGAAATTATATTGCTTCCTAGTGATACCGGTGGTGACAGTGATTCAAAAATATAATTTATCCTATGACAAATTATTGATTGTAATTACCATGCCAGGCATGATACACGTCATAGTACTGTAATCCTCCACTGAGATGGGATCTTGAGATTCCCATTTCACAGATGAGGAAACTGAGCCACCAAAAGCTTCATGTACCAAACCTGACCGTGCAAGTCAGTGCCACAGCTGGAATTCTCACCGAAGTGTCCGATATTTCTTTCCATTTCTTCTCCCCCAACACCGCTGCCCTGTAGGTCTTTGGTCCTTTGACATCACCATAACCCAGCTTCTTCAGAACATTCTGGATGCAGAGCAAAGGGCTGTGAACAGCATACAGTGCTCCCTGAACGACCTCAGGGACCTCATCCACTCCATCCTGGTCATGCTGGCTCTGGGGCCACAGCAGTTTGGCATGCTAGCCTGTAACCACAGGCCTCGTGCTATATATTTTTATGCAAGAAAGTGTACGGTGACAAATGCCCATGGCTCAGAAGACAGCAAAGAAGGGCACTTCAACCTCAGAGGTAAGCAGAGCCCCATTAATACTGACCCCAAATCCCACTGTTCCCAGTGATTTCCCCTAGTTGCTATGGGTGCATATCTTGTTCCACTGCTACATTTGAGAGCAACTATGTCATCCATCACCTCTGCCAACATGATCAACTGCTTTAAATGCATCTTTGGGGTGACAGTGACTTGCCAGAGTGTGAAAGGGGTCTGACTGGCAGCACAGGCATTAACAACTCAGATTCCACTCCAGCCAACTCAAAGGGGCTTGTTTTAATTTTCCCAGCATAACTCAGTCTTTCCAGGTTTTTGTTGTCCTTTTGGTTCTAAAATTAGGCAGGATCTTCGGTTAAAATTGCAGCTGGATCATGATCAATGATGTTTGGTCTCAGTTTCTTGGTTTTTGTTCCACAGCTGGTTTGTGAATGTTCTTTTCTAAGGACTGAAGCTATTTGTTGAAGTAGATCATGGTAACAACCCTTGGGTGGTTTCTGGAGTCTAGGTCCAGGCCAGGAATCTGGTGGTCCCTCAGCTGACTTGGGTAAGCTTTGACTCAGTGATCAAGCTGAAACATCCAGTTTGACCAGTTAACTCTGATTAAGAAAACCACTAGTTTGTGATGAGCAAATGTCGAGTTTCTGGCTGCTTAAAACAGTCAACACTCTAACTTTGGGGAACCTAGAAGAAAATCCCAATAGTTCTCTGCTTAAATTAACGAATTGCTATTTTGCAAATACTGTGGAATTTTTTGGTAAACACTATGGAATTTTGAGCAGCAGATTCCCTGGTGGCTCAGATGGTAAAGCATCTGCCTGCAATGTGGGAGACCCGGGTTCAATCCCTGGGTCAGGAAGATCCCCTGGAGAA